GGTTGCTGTGAGCTGTAATGCCACGGCACTCTGCCCAGGGGGACAGCTTGAGGCTCTGTCTCAAAAAAAAAAAAAAGAATTCTTAACTATACTTCAACCAGAATAACCAATTGTTATATTTTGCTTATACATGTATTTCCATATCATGTTCTCCTTTATATATATGTATATAAACACACCCATATGTACATATTGTGTGCAGATGTATGGTATTATAAATACTATGTATATTTCCTTTTTTCTAAATAAATTTTAGAGTTTCTCTCACTGTGCTTTTTTATCTGAAACATTTTTCTGTGTGCTTCCTAAGAAAAGACATGTTCTTTCATAATCTCAGTACAAAGTTCAAAATCAGGAATTTTAGCAATAATGCAGTTGTTTTTTATTTAATGTATCATCCATATTTAAATTTGGCTAATTGTCCCAATAATGTTCTTTATGGTTATTCCCCAGGATCCAGTTCAGAATCATAGGTTACATTTAGTTGTCATGTCTCTTTAGATTTCTTTCTTTTTTTTGGCCGGGGCTGGGTTTGAACCCGCCACCTCCAGCATATGGGGCCAGCGCCCTACCCTTTTGAGCCACAGGCACCTCCCCTCTTTAGTCTTCTTTAATCTGGAAAGGCAGTTAGTTACCCAGCCTTTCTTTGTCTTTCATGACCTTGATATTTTCAAAGCGTATTGGCCAGTTATTTTGTAAAATGTCCCCAAATTTGGATTTGTCTGATATTAATATTTTCTCCCAACTAGATTCAGACTAACCATTTTTGACAAGAAAACTAAAGAAATAACATTTCCTTTCTTCTTTTTCTCTTTTTCTTTCTGCTTTTCTTTTTTCTTTTCTTTCTCTTTTCTCTCTCTCTCACCCAGGCTGGTCTCAAACTCCTGCTTCAAGTGATCCTCATGCCTCAGCCTCCCAAGGGATTACAGGTGCATAACCATTGCACCCGGCTTCCCCTCCAGAGAGACTGAATGAATATAAAGTTCTGGAAGTGTGAATCCTTTTTATGATGTTAGAAGGGACAGACAAGTTGGCTTGGCCAGATATTTAGCAGAGGTAACTTGTACTTATTGTTATGACTAATAGCCAATATTTATCAAATTTTTTCTATCTACCAGGCACAGGGATTAACAGAATCATGACAATCCTGTGAGCTTGTTAACTTTCATCAGGTCCATTTCAGGGATGAAGAAACTGAGTATGAAGGTTGCACCCCTGAGGTTCCACCTGAGGCCTCAGACACTCCACAGCCTCTTATCTTGCTCACCTCTCCACAGGTAAGCAGTGGGAACCTTTACAGCAAGCCCTCTTCTACAAACCTTTCAGACGCCTCAGACAGTGCTGGGCACACGAATGGAGTTCAATATTTAGTGGTAGAAGAAATAAAAAGAGAAGAGTGGCAGTGAGATTTTTAGGCCCTTGCAGTAGGCTTGGGATGCAGAAGGGAGGCCCTTCACCTGCTGGGTACAGAGGGCTGTGTGGAGTCAGACATTGGTCATGCTCTCTGCATGCAAGGAATCACTTAGCTACTGGCTGAATAAGGCAGTGGCTACATTAACTGTGAGAAAAATCATTCATTTAACTTTTTTGAGCTTTTGCTACTATATGTGCTAGGCAGATTTGGAGATGCTGAGCAAAGGATGAATAAGAGAAAACTCAGTGCCTACTTTGGAGGGGCTGACGTAGGATAGAAGACAGCAATGCAGTTATGTGACCTCATATAACTTTAGACCCACACAGGATCATGAAGTAGGCAAAGGGGCAGCAGAGGATGGGCTAGGGGCTAGCCTAGAATGGATGGTTTGAAATAATCTCTCGGAGGTGACCATTGTGTAGAGACTTAAGTAAAAAAATAAGCAAATGCTTATCTACGGGAAGAATGGTCCATGTCAAAAATGGGTGAGAGCCTGCTCTGAGCTAAGTGCACAGGGGAAGAGTGGTGGAAATAAGGAGAGATGTGGTGAGGCCCCTTAATGAGTCAAGGACTTGGGGGCCGTGATAAGGACGTTGGACTTAGTAATTATTATGTACCACGCACCCTGGTAAGTGATGCAGCTGGATGCTGTTATTGCTTCCACAGGTGAGAGCAGTGAGTTCTATAAGTTGTTCTTAAGTTGTTCGCATACCAATAGCGGGGTGGGTGGATCTGGGACTTGAGGAAAAAAAGCAGTCCCTGATCTGTCCTGACTCCCACTGGTATGTGACTTTAAGAACTACCCCCCAGGTAAGAAGGCAGAGGTATAAGCAAGAGAAAACTCTCTCCTATGTCAGACCCTCAAAAACAGTGAGGCTGGAGCAGTAATTTATCCCCCTTACCTGACCCCATACCTCAGGGGGCTGAGAACACCCAAGAGGGGATGGTTTTGTGGGAAGGTGGGAAGGCAGGGGGCTCTGGCCTGAGAGAGAAAGGTTAGGTGGAGTGGAGTGTGGGAGGGATGGAAGGTAGGAGTTAGGGGCTGAGATTGCTCAAGGGGGCTGGGTGAGAGGTTACAGGGAGTAAGGAAGGGTCGAAGCTGGAGGTGGCATGGGGTTGTGGGCTGAGATCGTATGGCATGGTGGCTGGAGCAGAGAGAAGGTAAGGCAAGAGAGGAGACAGAAGGTTGAGGTGGGCGCCTCAGTGGTGGAGATCCTGGGAGCAGGAGATACTGGGGGCACCTGGGGAAAGACTATACTGCTGCCTTGGAGAGCTCCTCTCTCATACTGATGCTGCATTTCAGAGGGTTCCAGGAGAGCTGCCTCCAGGAGAAACTGGAGCTTGTCACGATGCCTAACACCATACCACTCACAATAACTGTGTAAGAGACTGTTCTTGTTCCCATTTTAAGAGAAGACTGGAAGTAACAACTGAGAGGTTGTCACATCGCAGATATCTGGGATTTGAACTCAGAAGCCTTAGGTTTGAGCAACCAGGTTCTTAGCCATTACACCTGTGGTCCTCAAGCTTGGTACCTTCCCGTTAGCCTATCATTAGCACACCTGAAGAGGTGGTTTGCCAAATTGCTCCCCCTCTCCCTCAGCTAATTCAACAGTCCACGCTCTGAGCAGGGCTATGTTATAAACACTAATGCTTCTGGACTGAGCACAAGGTGTAGGCAATTACAGAGGATTTGAATTCTGGCAAAGAATTGAGCCGTTACATGGGAAACTAAGCAAATAAGATATGAGGTGACTGATTATTAAAGCCAAGAAACAACAACAATTTACAAGGAAAACATTGTAATCATCATAAACTACAACACTCAGCTGGAAGTATTACATTGTCATTATAATATAAAAAAGCACATTGATAACAAAATTATAATAGTTTGGGGAGAATTGGAGAGGGGAAGTGTGTTGAGAGAGACACACACACACTGAATCCTTATCTTCCACAGCTGTGAGTTAACAGAAAAGGTCAAATTTTCAGAGTAAAGAAGTGATACCAGCCATAAACAAGTCAGGAAAAATAACTACAGAATTAAAATTACTGTTTCTGGGGTGAGATGGGGGGTGGGAAAGGGGATTTTTGATATAACCTTTGTAGTGGTATTTAACCTTTAGTGGTATCTAGCTTTCAAACATTATGTATATTTCACTTGTATTAAAAGTGAAATTAGAAATAAAAGTGGGTGTGGGCTTTAGCCACCACTGAAGCAGCCGATCAGCTTGGTGGCGCTGTTCAGCTTCTGGCCAGGAGCGTCACCTGTTGTCGGTGTGTTACCTCCGCTGGAGGGCTACCAGTAGTACTCTCATGATATTTGGGAGGACACTGGACCAGAGATGCTGCACCCGGTAAGACCCAACAGACAGAACATTGTGTCTATTAAATGAGAGTCCTCGTCACAGAAAACAAAGATGGGTGCAGATACAGCTGCCCCGTCTCCAAAACTGAATAAACGTTCTTTTTATCAGCCACTGAAAAGGCTAAGAAATTCCAACATTTTGTCCTCTTCCATCTGGAAAAGGCGTCATTTTTTTGGTCTGGTATCTGAATATTTGCCGCAGGAAATGGGTTACTAAGTTGTTAGGAGTTGTTTATGACTTTTGGAAAGATAAAGGACTACAGTGCAGAACTAGCAGGACCAAGTCCTTAATTCTGTAACTACTAGAACATTTAAAATGAATTATTGGGGATTCTGGTTAAAATGTACCCAACCAGAAGGCAACAAAACACACTCGTTGATCAAAGCGTAAAGCAATGCAGCCTTTTATGAAGGCAATGTGATAACTCATTCTTTATAAATATATTTAAAAATTCATAGATGTTGATCCAGCAATTATTTCTGGGAATTTATCCTATAGAAATACCCAACTG